CTGAAGTTGCGTACCTTAGTTCGATTTGGGGGTTTAGTGTAGACCAAGCCTAAGAGTATCCTGACAAAGTAGTTCTTGGTCTTTCCCTGTACCCAGGTTTCCCTTAAGACTGCTTAGAGTGGGCCTTGAGTGATGAGGTTAAACTTGACTGAGGTTTGCTAAAAAAATACAGCCGAGTCCTCTGCTTGGAAGGGCACATAGCTAAGAGAGCTGACTCCTTGCTTGGTACTGTGCTACTTATAGAGTTGTAGGACTGGAAGGGAACTCAAGAGGTCATCTAGTCCAATCCCCTGCACAAAGCAGGACTGAGTATTATCTACTTCCATCTCACTGCAAAGTTCTACAGTGTGCTGGAGGCTTGTTAAGAATGGGATTCCCATAAAATCTTATCCATAAGCTTTTGGGCAAGGTAAACGTCTTGAAATACATTAGTTTAGCTTTTGGCATGGTGTCATTGGTAATGCTTCCTACAGGCCCTGCAAGACTGCCCCTGCTGGGTGGCTGTCCCCACAGAAGGTAAAGGTCCCATGACTCATTCCTAATAGTTCACAAGCTAGCTCCCTTGTATCTTGGCTGACATTCTAATGCCCACGACACGGTGGCAGGCACAAGGACTGCCATCAGAGTGTTAGTGATATGCTTTGTAAAGGGGTTACCTAGAATGTGAAACGTGCTCGTATAAAGTCAAACTGTCCAGTGCACCCAGGTCAGGCTGGCTGGCTGTTCTGAATTACCATCAGCAGGTGAAGACAAAGTGAATACAATGTGTAATAATGCCTTAGAAGAGGGTCAGTCTACTGAGCAATCGAGTTCTCTCTCTCATTTCCCATATTCAGGTGCTGTGGTAATCAGCATGTCTCCTTAGGTGAAAACTGCTCTGTGTGAGAGCTTTATAGCTAGTTTTCCCTTTGCATTTTGGTTTTTACCTTCTTCTCACTTATTTTTTTTTTAATTGGGAGGTTTTTAATAATTCGTCTTCTCTAAACAGAAATGTTTCTTGCTCCATCCAGAGCATGACTTATTGATGGCTTGTTGTTTCCTACCATTGGCGGAGTCAGCAGTTGCCCAGAATTTATGGCCCCTAATCCCAAGTCTCCAATATCTCTTACCAAGTGAGAGGTTGTAGCTTTGGCTTAGAGGATTTCACAGAGTCTACCCACCTTTCCCTCTTCCCCCATCCCTGTAGACACACATTGATTGTGGATAAATTCAGAGTTTATGGCCCCAGATGATGCTCCTATATGCTAGGAACTGGCAGTTTCCCCAGGTCTTGCACAGGAGTTACTGGTTCTGGAAATGCAGTTACTGGTCAGATCCACCGAGGAAGCCTCATTTTGTTAAGTGCACAAGCTGCCGCTCTTCCAGTACAGTGTTTGTTCGGTAAATCATTCTGTTCTTCAGGCAGTATGCCATAAAAAAGGCTGTTTTGAATTTTTAAAGAACTTAAAATCTGTCCTTCCACTACAGACAGTTGTATGTCTAATTAGCAATTAAGAGAGAATCTTCCAATCTAGCAGGTACAAAAACTGTGTATGCAAGAAGATAGGGAGAGAAAGAGACAAGTAAGGTTTTCTTTGATCATCTAGAATTATTTTACCAATAATGAAATAAATAGCAATTTAGCTTAATCAGTTTTGGGCAACATATACCATGAAAACTGCAGACACATGCAATGCTTGACTCTTGCAGATCCATTCCAATACAGTGAACAGACTTTTTCAGTGGACTTAAATGGCTCCAAAATAAATGATTAGTTAGCCCTTGAGACCATGTTTGTAAATTCAAATTTTAATTTGAAACAAATCTAATTAAAAATCCAATTTAAATACATATAAAGAGAATAATTGTTTTATTTTTTTTCAAAATTAGGCCTATATCTTCCCTTGTCACAAGCTCCCAAATGTACCATTCAAACCCCTCTCTTACTGTGTCATAGCTTAATTAGCATGACATTGTGAAATCTTCACTACTTTGGATAACCTTGGCTTTGGAGACTTTCTAAGGTAGGATTATCTCCTTTATTTCTTTATGAATTGTGTGTGAGAAGTTCTGATGTTCTTTTTAATTATTTTTTATAAGGGTCAGTATAAAAAAGCAGTTACCAGCCTACATCACGTAGCAGCTCTCCAGGGATCTCATTCTCAGCAGCAGCTCACAGGACAAGGATCCCTACTAGAGAATCAGAGAGCACTTATCCAGTTAGCTACTTGCCACTTCGCCCTTGGAGAATACAGAGTAAGTACAGCCTACCGGCCTCGCTTCTCCAGGCCTTCCCCTCCATCTGCCAGTCCTCCCTGGGGGCCCCAAGCTAGCCTGTTTCCAGCAGGAGATCAGACATGCCACCTGACGCCAGGAGGGCACTGCATCTCTGCCCACGCCCCCTGAATGCGTGACAGAGCAGCCAAATGTGTGTCATGTGAAATGCGTTTTATTTGGCAGCTGTGAGTTTGAATTTGAGTTATTTGTTAGATTAACCTTAATTTTGAATTACCTTCCTTTTTTTAACAGTACATTTGATAATTGCAGCCTTTGTCTCCGGATTCTTACTTTTATTGTTGACGTATATGCTTCACCTTAGCTTCACCTTAGTTTTTAGCGCTGACCACGTGGAGGTGATTAAGAGTATGCTGGGGCGGGGGGGAATGTCTGGGTGGTGGCGAAGGGGTTATTGGAAACATAATCTTACTTTTTGGAATATGTTCATAGAAAAGAGTTGCCACCTGATAACTCAGCAGACTTGGAGAATCATATTATCTGGCGTGACCTCTTAATGCAATTTAGCTTTGGAATATGTGTGTTATACCTTGTTGTTATTACTCCAGTAGTTCATATAGGTCACAGTCAACATGGGGCCCAGGGCGCTATGCGGGATACAAATGCAGTATTATTCCATGTCCCAGAAATTTAGGCTTCGTCTACACTAGCACTTTGTCGGCAAAACTTTTGTCGTCCAGGGATGTTTTAAAAAAAAACAAAAACACACACACCCCTGAAGGACAAAAGTTTTCCGGATGAAAAGCGCCGGCATGAACAGCGCTTTGTCGGCAGGAGTGCTCTCCTGACAACAAAGCCGCTGCCGCTCGTGGGGGGTGGGCGTTTTTTGTCGGCAGCAGAGCTCTCTGAAGTGACTTGCCCAGGGTCATATGGCAGGTCAGTGGTGAAGCGGAGAATAAAATCTAGTTCACCTGAGTTCCATCCTACACTCTCTCCACTGGCCCATGTTTCCTCCCCTACAGATAACTTTTTCATTTGAAATCCTTAGGTGTCTTTTAAAATTGATTTATCTGATTATATATCCCTCTTGTACACTTTTATCTCTTAATAAATTAGGAGTAGGGTTTACAGCATTTCTGCAGTGCTGTCAGATTGCAATTTTGACTTTTGGGGAATCATTTTTCTAAACAGGGACGGAAAAAGCCTTATTTTTATTAAAAACTTCCAGAAACAGTGCAAACAATTTGAACTCTAAAAGTAAATTCATTTTAAATTACCAATGGACTATTCTTGCACTGTTGAAAGAAAAAACACTGTGAAAGAACTAAGCATCCACTGTTAAAGGCGGTAATTTCATCAATTCATATTACATCTTTTTCCCTTTGTCCAGACAAATTAGATTACTTTGCCCACTAGTCCATTATAGATTGTAAATTCTATTAGATAGAGATCTTCGAGTTCCCATTTCTGCTGCCTACTGCAAGAGTTCGAATTCATTGTTCTGTTACTGATAAATCTGGATTTCATTTTAAATTTAGAATCTCGGGATTATTCATCTTTTATATTTTCTCTTGTAGTTGACATGTGAAAAAGTACTTGACCTCATGTGCTACATGGTACTTCCCATACAAGAAGGGGGTAAAACACAAGAGGAGCAGCCTAAAGTGAAGTCTAAATTCAGGAAAGGTATGGGGATTTTTTGGGTTTCACTTCTGAACAGCTGTCTAGGAATTGTGAGATTCCCAGTGACATAGATTGTAGTAAAATCCTTATACCCTCTGCTCTGGAAAATGTTACAATATATATATTGTATGTCAGTTCAGTCACTTATATGTGTACTAAGTTTCAGAGTTTTCCTTATGTTGCATTGTAGCGTGAAATCTCTGATGTCAACAGGAGAACATTGGTTTCCCCCTGAGCCAGTACTGCTAGGACAAACCTGATTACAAAATACTCTAAGCATTTCACCCAGCTTAGTTTTAGGACACACTTGTCTATATCCTAAAGAAAAGAAACTGTACATTATTACCGTGGAAAGAGATGGAATTCCTTATCCTTCTTTGTGTCTTGTAAATGCCTTATCAACATCACTTTACTGTGTAGCAGAATACACAATCATAGCACAAGAAAGAAGAAAAGAAGACTGGCTTTTTAATATTATTTTACATTTTAATCATTCTGATTGAGGCATGGGATTAGGTAATTGCAGGTTTGTGCCTCCTGTTTCCCATTCTGACTTTTTAATCAAAATGATAGGATTATGTGACATGCATAATTATGTAATATAATTTCTGTTACAGGTTCTGATCTAAAACTTTGGCCATGTACCAGTAAAGCTATTATGCCATATTGCCTCCATTTATTGTTGGCTTGTTTTAAGGTAAGTTATTGTCAAAGCTCCATATCCTATGCGCATCTTAGATCTAAATTATGCTGCACTGTTCCTGAAATGATGTGGCACTGCTCCCTCCTTGTCCACATCTAGTACGGTGCCTTGGTAACAGTATCTTTTGTGCTACTCATTTGGCAGTCAGACTGGATAGAGGTTTTGGCAGCTGCGTGGGGGACCACTGAGGCTTTTTGTGTGCAGGAAAACATGATGTGTAGTTTGTTAGTACCAGGGGACAGTTTGTGCACTTTGGATTGGGAGGGAACGAATATCCTCTTTCCCTCTCCCTATCTGGCATGGGCAGAAGTGACTAACTTAGGAGGAGAGGTTGAATTCCCCATTTCCCCATGTTAGCAACCCTCAACAACAACAGCTGCCCTCTCACTCATCCCAGGATCTTGCCGTACTTTAGCAACTATTAATAAGCACGTCGTCTCTGCCACCACTGTTAGTTTTGGACACTGAGTGTAGTAATCTGTTGTGATGTTACTGATTCATACAGTGTGAATCTTTTTTTTTTTTAATATATATATAGCTGAGAGCTTTCACAGATAACAGGGATGATATGGCTTTGGGTCACGTGATCGTTTTGCTTCAGCATGAATGGCCAAGGGGGGAGAACTTGTTCCTGAAAGCCATCAACAAAATCTGTCAGCAGGGAAACTTCCAGTATGAGAATTTTTTCAACTATGTTACAAGTATCCTTTTTCCTATTAAAAACTATCAGTGCCACAAAAAACAATGCAGAGTCCTCTTTGTCGTCTAAAACCATCCATTAGGTTGTAGGAAATAGTCACTTATGAAAATATTTATCTGCTTTTCCAAGAGACCAAATTCTGCATTTACTTATGTGCCAAACAAACCTTTTGTAATCTATGGGAGTGCATGAAGTGTAAATCCGAGTAGAATTGGCTATAAAATGGATGTGTGATTGCTGCTGGTACCTGGAAAATATACATCCCTACATTGCTGACACTCCTCAGATTTATAAAATGGCAGTTGCTTGTGCTATTACAAATCAGTCTCTCAGCACTTCCATTACAATCAGGAGTTACGCTGGGCCATTATGCTGGAGTTTTTCAGCTATGCTCCTGGGTGGGAACAGCAAAGTGAAAAGTATGTGGTATCCATGCTTCAGAGATCCAAAATCTTGTCACTTTCACTTTGGGTCATATTTTCAGAATTAGGTGTATGCACGTTCATACAAAATACGTCTGATTTATGCACACAAATGTCAAATGCATATATGGTCAGCTAAGTGTATAACTAGACTGGTATCTAATTGCAATAATTATTAAATGAGGTGGGTCTAACTACAGTTGTGGACGCCTAACTAAAATTCTGTTCTTGTGAGCAGCAACTGTGGGAGATGTTAAGGGAACAAATTAGAGCAGTGGTTTTCAGCCTTTGGTCTGTGGTCTAAGATTTCTAAGTGGGTCATCACCTCCATCTGAAATTTTTTAGGGGTCCACAAATAAAAAAAAGCTTGAAAACCACTGAATTAGAACATAAGAATTGAGAAGGAAGAAAAGGTAAATATGAAGAAGAAAAGAGACACAAAAACAAGAGAATGAGGGGAGGGGAAAAAGCTAAGACGATGGTTGTAAAACGGCTTAGTATGCACCAATACAATGTAGTGTCACTTCCTCCTCAATCCTAGTCTGACTACATTTAGTTTGATGCCATGTTGCACAGAAAAAAAGAGAGCTTTTCTGTCTACTTGCACATATGTGATGATCCTGACTTGTGTGGGTGAACTGTACCTTAAAAATATCTGTACAATATTTGGAGGACTTTAGTAACCTGGTAAGTGTGTTACCCTTCATTGAGAACCACTGGTTTATGCATGTCCCTGGGGATACGCAGACGTCTTCCGGGGGGTATATCAACTCATCTATATTTGCCTAGGTTTACAACAGGCAACATAAAAAGTACTAGCGATGTCCGTACAAACTAAAATTTCATACAAACAATGACTTGTTTATACTGCTCTACATACTATACACTGCAATGTAAGTACAATATTTATATTCCAATTGATTTATTTTATAATTATATGGTAAAAATGAGGAAGTAAGCAGTTTTTCAGGAATAGTGTGCAATGTCACTTTTGTATTTTTGTCTGATTTTGTAAACAAGTAGTTTTTAAGTGAGGTGTAACTTGGGGGTACACAAGACAAATCAGACTCCTGAACAGGGTACAGACTCCTGAACAGGGTACAGTAGTCTGGAAAGGTTGAGAACCACTGTGTTAAACTACCAATGTTTTGTTTGTATATCAAAGAACCATGTGTTACAGATAACTTTGTCTTATCTCTGGCTGGTCTTTCAGCAGGTATAGTGTTGGTTCAATCTTCATTTTTTTTTTTTGGTTGAGATTGCTTTATGAAGATCTGTGTGTTATCATTTTTCCCCCCTATGAAGTCCTGAACCTTTTCTACAGATATTGATATGCTAGAAGAATTTGCCTATTTAAGAACACAAGAAGGAGGGAAGATTCATCTGGAGTTGCTGCCAAATCAAGGAATGTTAATCAAGTAAGGGGAAAAAAATTTGTTGTCTATTTGAAATGATCTGAAATGCGTTCTGGGTTGTCTGTTTGATTTATATGAGCCTATGGCTAGTATGCTTGTGATACAGTATTTCTAACATTTAGGAGGTCAAACAAGACCATGGGTTTGTGTCTCTTCCACCAAATTCAGGGCTTTTTGGTGCACTTCAACTTTAAGCTTGTCTAACTGCATTTTTTGAATTGTGTTGCACTGGAATAACTGGTATTGACGGGGTACTGTATTACTTTTTCATTCTGAAACTGGCACAGTAACGGTATTCTTAACTATTTAGGCATTAGGTAGCACATGTTAAGAACTATAATTGCAATTATTAAGAGGAAGCTCCCTTTTATACAGTTATGAAAGCTCGCATGGAGCTATGTATGAATTACACTTGGAGTAAATTTAATTAAACCTCTGCCTGGAGCCAATGGGTTTTCATCTCATCTGAGCTCACAAGCTAAGCAGAATCAGGCTTGCTTATTACAAGGTGCTGCAGGAAATCATTTTGGTAAGTCAGTAGGAAGCAGACTTCCCTTTGAGTCAGACTAGACCAGTGCTGTCAACAAGGTCTTGGAGGCAAAAGTGCCTTTGAAGATCTAGAAAATTGGTCATAAAGAGCCACTGGCATTTTTACAAATGTTGAGGTGTTAAACCTTGTGTCCTGGCCAAGTTCCAATGTTTTTAACAATATTCTAGCTACTAATATTCCCACTACTTATGGGCTAAGGTTTTCAAAAACAGGAGCTTAAGAATCTAACTGTAAGTCCATATTTAGGTTCCTCAGTACGTCTGGCCTGACCCTCTAAAGTGGTGTGCATCCACTAGCTCCTATTGAAGTAATTGAAGCTGTGGGTGCTTCGAACTTACAAAAACTCTGACCAAACTCTCTCTGTGTATGCGCAATGTGCCCAGCTATTTGATGGTGGAGAACCGGTAGCCAGGTGGAGAACCGGTAGCCTGCCGTCAAAATAAGTCAGTGGGCACTCGTCAAGAATATGCGATATAGTCTGAAGTTGACGAGGCTGCATCGCAGGTCATTATTTAAAAAAAAACAAAACAAAAAACATTTAAAGAGATTTAGATGGTTAAATAAGCACTTAGGATCCTAACTTTATGCTTCAGATTTTGCAAACCTTGGCCCTGACCTTTTTCACTCCTCTTCCTAAACTATTATGTAATAAGTTTATTATTTAACAGTATATCTGTGGTGCTGATCCTCCTGGTCATGGTTATAAAGCTAATCAAAAGTAATGACCTTTATGATGCTGACAGTCTGGAGAGCAGTGCCAAACATGGTACTGTAAGTGAGAGACCATCCTGCTTTACAGATATATAGAGAATTAGAAAATGTAACACTGAAGACCTAGGCTACCTGGGAACTTCCTGAGCATTGCTTCATGTTAATTACAATAGTTTAATACCGTTTTGTTGTACCTTCTTCTTTTCTTATTGGGTAACCATTATGCTCAGTGTTCTAACTGCACCAGCCAGGAAAGAGGAGACCCGCATTGTCTGTTGCAAGAGATAGAATCTTCCTAGTTGGCCTCCTGTCCAGGTAGTACTTTGCCTCCTGTATCATGGAAGCAAACAGGTACAGATGCCCAATTCCTGTTGCCCCACTAATCCTTCCTATTTCTGGATTCTGACCGCTCCCCACTCTGATATGTTTGGGCTGCACCTTTCTTCCAGGAGGCAGAGGCTACAGAATTTTGCCACGTCCCCAGCAGTTCTGTGCCAGATTGTTTGCCACCAGCCAGCAGAACAGAACATCAGCTCAGCTCTCCTGTCGTACCCCTGTAGAGCTTGGCAGTAATCCAGGCAGTAGTAAGTGGTTCCCTTCATCTAACTCAATGGTTTCAAGAAAAGTCTCTATGGAAGCTCTGCATCTTTTGGTTCTTGGCGATTTTGGCAGTAAGGTGACCCCTTCCATAGAAGGACATCAAATCATGCTTGTGCTTAAAAAGACTTCTGTGATGTTTTGCAGCAACAACCTAGACAGATCAGTTGCTCCCAATGAGCTCTTTCCTCAGTATTGAATGTGCTTATGGGCCCAGCACTGCAATACGGGAGAAATATCCCAAAAGCTACTTTCTTACAAGCTGGCAGTTTTAGTTGGTGTGACTTGGTTAATTGTTTCTTTGCCTTACATTGAGTTTTCCCTAGATGCTGCAGTCTAGCCTACCCTCAGAATTGGTTCCCTAAAGGGAATCCAGAGTTCCACCTTTTCTACCAGCATTTTGCCCAGCACCTTCCACTTCCCTTCTGAGGAAATTGTATTCCTCCTTGTCATGGGCTTGCCTGAGCCAATGGAGCATCTCAAACTTACCTTGTCTTGCAGAAGTCCCGTTCATACTCCGTTTAGGGTGATCTTCCTGGGCCCGGCAATCCACAAAGTAAACAAAACGGTTTCATTGACTGACAAAAGGTGCAGTCAGTCAGGTGCTGACCAAGCCAGGTTTCTCAGGTTAAAATGAGGAGATTCTTCTCCTCTCCCAGCTTCACCCAGAACTGGCCCCTGGAAGAAGCAACCGCGGTGTACCAAGCATTTGCTGCTCCTTGCTGTGCCTTGCAGCTGATGGTGGGTGGCCTTTCTAGGCAGCTCCTGGAAGACTAAACGCTGTGCTCTTCCCTCCCCACCCCCAATGACACATTGGGGTACCCCAATGTGGTGGGGTCTCCAGCAGGGAGCAGAAAATGCCTGGTACATCCTGTGTCTCTCCTCCTGAGCCCAGGAATTCAGGAAAACAGGCTACTGTTTATGTACTTCAAAGGCTGCAATGAGGGCAGGGTAGCGTGGAAGACCTTGCTGGCCATAAAGATAAAGGATTATAGCCGGGGGGTTTATAATTTAGGTTGGTAAAATTCGTATGTTGTTTGTCACATTCCACTCCAGCCCATAGAGGAGACGAGATGGGGTAGAGGTGCTGAGGCATATGTCTCTTTCATCTGTGATGCAGCCCCCTGGTGGGTTTTTCATACATTCCTTTATCTCTGTCACTGGATTATCTGCAGTGACATCTGAGTTCAACCATTCAGTTGAATGGAGCTTCAAGCTCCACTGTAGGTAAACCCTCCTTCAGAGTTATACTGTTTGCTATGTCCACTGAGCCTAATGGTGACCCGGTAGGATAGGAGAAAATGAGACTGTATGACCAGGAAAGAATTACTAAGTTTAGGCTCCTATTTTTCAAAATCTTGTCCTAAGAATAATACAATATAAATGGCAGTTAATTGCCTAGCAGGTGGTTTTGTCACCTTGACTTGAAAGTTGATTATTTGTTTCTTTTATTTCTTTACTCCTCAAACATATTTCTGAGTAAAATCTCATTCCTAGTGTAAACTGAAATGGATCTTAGTTATAACTTTATTCGGATCTACACCCAGCTCTAGAGTTTATCCAAACATTCCATCTTGAGCTTGTGGTTTTTATATTTCACTTTCCAAATTTGGAAGAACGAATTACAAGATCCTCAGAGTTTTCTTTTATTGTATTGCTGTTCACTAGTCAGTATCTTAATACTCTCAAACTGTCACAAGCCAGGGAAATACTTCTAATTTAATATCGGATAGCAAGAATCAAGTTTCTAAATCTGGAATATCTCACAATTTAACAGGGTTTTGATTAGGTATATCAGCTGTCATTTGCTATCCAATATTAAAAACTAACAAGGTCCCTCTTGTTAAAGTATCTCACTTTCATGGTGGTACTTCGCAATTTGGTAGAAATACAGGCATGTATAGAAGTCATTACTATTTGTGTTTAAAAAATATTATGTAGACACACAACCACAGTTGCAGTCTTCTGATGATGTACCTTTAGGCAGCCAGACTGCAAAATTTGGTATGCCCTTTAATGTATATTACTTTGTGCATGCATTTAGCCCTGATTATGGCTCCTGTAAGCAGCAGTGAAGTAACAGGCGAAGAGAACCAGTTTCCAGTCCTGCCCCGCACAAAAGACTGGACCAGATTTTCAGCAGTGCTCAGCACCCAGCAGCTCCCATTGTCCTGATGTAATTTCTCACTGTTCTCAACGTCTCCTTTAGAATCTGGCCCCAGTTGTGGGTACTGAGCGCTTCTGAAACTCTGTCCCACTAGTTTAACTAATCTTTGTGAACCAGTTATTTCAGGCCACAGTGGGCTAATTTTGCTGCTACTCAGTAGAAAAGTAAACACCCCCCACCTTCTCCCCCTCTCTTCCTTTGAATTATTTGATTGACTTTTTGCCTAGCTCCCCATCCCCCTGCATTAGTAAATGATAGATACTGGCCAGAATGTTCACACTTGCAAGCCTGACGATAGGCACCTATGTCCATATTTAGGCACCTAATATTGAGTGGCTTGGTTTTCAAAGGTGCTGAGTAACTTCAGCTCCTAGTAACGCTAAGGCAGATGATGGATGCCCAGTTGCTGCAAATCAACCTGTTTACTTAGGTGCCTGAATATGGATTTGGGTGCCATTTTCAGGTACTCAAGTTGGAAAATTTTGACCACTATCTCTAAACCAAATTTCTCAAGTCTGGTCAGGTGGAATAGTGAATTTGCTTTTGGTAGCCATCTTGAGCTTTGGATTCTCTGCTGTAGATCACACACATGCTATGGACAATTGACCTGTCAGAGAGGGTATGAACTACCTTTCATCTAGAACAGCCTGGGGTAGTTGGTCCATAGCCCAGATGACCAAGACTTTACAAGAGACTGCCCCACAACCCAGGCCAGAGTGTTTTCTTGGTGTGTGAGCCCATATCACAAGGGAGAAGGTTTAAAAATGCCTAATGAAAAAATGACTATTTGCCATTCCATGTGAAATTCATGGGGCTGGCGTTTGGGCACTGACATTAGCATCATGAACTGCTGTGCCAATCTCTAATACCTTGGTTTTCTATCTTAATTTGGAATGACGAATGAAAGGCGATCCATGTACTAATTGCAAGATCCTTACGTAACACATTAATACTGTAATGTACAGAACTTCACTGTTCACAGGACGGCCATCTGGCTTGGGCTCAGCACGAGTTCCCTTAGGTCAAAGTTCTAAGCTGCTGGACTCAGCTGAGGTGTCTCTCGCCACTGCTACTAAGGTCCTTGGCTGCCTCCTGTGCTCCTGTAATTAATTCCTTTCTGACGGCAGTCAGTGAAAAACTTTTGGGGGCAGTGACATTTCTTTGCAATGTGTCTCTGGATGGCTTCTGCCTCTCACAATATCCTTTGTCCTGGTGTATATTTTGACTGCCACTGAGGCACAGACTTGCAATGGTGTCCAGGTTGATGTCCCCAGGGTTCATGCCACCTTCACCTGCTCTCCTTCAAGCATCTTTTGGAGGTCCCTTTCTGCAACACCTTTATTCTCCTGTCCTTTCCCTGACAGTCTGCCCTTCTCCCAGGAGCACTGAGGCAGGGCCAATAGGTTTGGCTGCAGGCAGGGGCTAGGACCATCCTTTCTGGAATTCTCCAGCATTTTCTGCCTCTGCCCCCTATGCAGACAGAAAACTATGGGCTCCCCATCCTGCTTCCTCTTTATGGACCTTCATTTATCTGCCCACAGGCTGTTGCCCTTTGTGGAGTTTTATGCCATGTTGCTCCTTATCCACCAGAGCATCTCTTAACATCAGGCTTGGGTATTGTAACTATTGCTTGATGCATTGAGTTTCTTGCTCAGCACTAGTCCGGATATTTTTTTACTCCTTCCCATGTCTTTCAGGTGGCAAAACAAACCAGTAACTTAAAATATTGTTATGAGTGTGGTCATACTGTCTCTCTACCAGACATGCATGCCTGGTGTCTTTGAGAAAGGAAATAAACTGGCTGAACTGTCAGATGTGCTCACAGATGTAACTATAAGTTCTCAGTTCCTGAGAAGAGCTCTTCAGAGCCCTATTCTGATAATTCTTCTAACTCCACTACAAAGCTAGCACAAAAAGTCTCAAAAGAGTCCATGTCAAGATGCCATTGCAGGCACTGAGACTGTCAGCGTCTCTCTGGAGGGCACAGATCTGCCAGGAGAGGTTGTGTAGCTCCCATTCCACTGCACCAAAGTCTGCAAGTTAAAACTGTGTCCGATGCCATTCTGCACCAAGACTTCGGCATCCTTACTGCCTCAATGCACCCAACAAGTGATGCATGACAGAATCCTCATTACGCAAGGTGTTGCTTCAACCGAAGTGTTGAGCTTAGTCTTTGTTGTTTTTTTTTTTTTTTTTAAGGGCTTTGTTTTCTGTAGCTATGCAGTTTGATCTGGCCACCTCTCTGACTCTTTGATTGTCAAGTTAGGTTCTGGTCCCCAGCCCTGCTGTCCTGAGCTTGCAGCCTTCAAGTTGATTGCACGGAAGGCTTCTCTTATAAAGTTTCACCTTGTTTGGCTAACAGTTACCAAAGTTTACTCGCAGGATTGTTCCTTTTTCAAACTGGTGCATACAGACACATCACCTTCCACGTGCGCCCTTCAGCAAGTCATGGAGTTTAACAAGAACCTGAAGCTCCTCTTTCTGAGTGCAGGTTTCCGTAATGTTGGCCTTCCAGCATCCAAATGGCATCAGGAGTTGGGTTTCTGTGCTTGATTATCATAATCCTCTCCTTGCTGAGACAAATCCACACAAGCTCTAGGGAGAGAGGATGTGTGGAGTTCCCATGTAGTCAGATTGCCTAAAGCCTGACTTCTGGAGAGGATGAAGGGCTTGGGCATTGGGAAAGGGCACATTTTTTGGAGAGTGAATGCTCTTTGGTGGTCTAGCTAAGTTTCTCCCCAAGAACTTAAGAGCCTTAGACAGCAGAATAGCTAACTCAGTCATCATCCGCACTCCAACTCTGGAGCCAGCCTTGCTCATGTCCTAGACTGAAGATGCCAATGCATTTGGCTGAAAAATGGCTAATAGCAAAGGAGGCATCACAGGAATTCATCTGAAGTTGATTGCAGTCTAGTAAGTCTCTGCCGTCTGTGACAGACATGATTTTGTGTTTTACATAAGCAAGCAGGGAGGAACAAGATGTTTCTTTATTCAGAAGCCCTGTAAGTGGAGAATTGGACAGTGCCCACAAGTCATTGCTAGCTGCCTTGCAGGAAAGGAAATATACTGTTGCCAACAGGTTTGACCAGCTTGTAGGAGTCCCTCTGCTGGAAGTAATGGATCAGCCAATAGGACTGTGGATCCCTCGATAATCTTGCTATGACATTTCAGTTGCATGAGGAAGGGCATCTATGCAGCCTTAGTGGGCAGTACTCTTCCTGATGGTTCCAAGCTCATAGCACTGCAAAGGTGCTTGCATCCTAAAAGCATGGCCCTACAGAGAAAATGTATCACACCGGAGTAGTCCCCTTTTCTTAGGGTCAGGAGGGACTCTGTGCATTTCTTCTCTTGCAGCGTAATGGAATATTCGTTAACTAAGCTGCTGAAAGCTCCCGGTGAGACACTTGATACCTGTGAGTTCGTTACAAGTAGGTAGGGCACTTTCCCCAGGGGTGGTGACGTTAGCCCATAGAGTGAGGGAACTTTGAGGCCATTGTGCCCAATGCAGTTCTTCAAAGAGCAGGTGATCTAGCATTCTAAATTCCTTGCAGAGCTGGTGACAGTGATCTGTCTTAGCCAATCCATCAGACTGCCATGGCTTACCCCAGTAAAACCCTTCCCCACAAACTCTGCCAACGCGCTCTAGACTTGAACTAGAGAATGCTAAAACCAGCTATTTTTAGTTTACACCCATTCAGTATGTACTGGGAAAGAATTGTGTCTCTGATTGCATCTCATTGCTACAGCCTGGCAGGTCTACTGGTGTTCTGCTGCAGGCCACAAGCTCTGCTCTGTCCCCATTCAAGAGATGTGCAAAGCAGCCCCATGGTGCTTTCGGCACGTTTTCCATACAACATTGCTCCCATTCGGCCTCAGGCCAAAGGGGATTTTGCTTCTCCTCAAGTTTATAGAAACGCTGCCTGACATCACGGGCCCCAAAACACTCTTTTCTGTGACTGTCTCCTTCTGTTTGGGGCAGTAGCTTCTCTCTCCACATACCAGGATAAGGTTTGCGTCGCTCTTGCTATTAAAGGTATGTTCTGCACACAGCGTATTGCCATTTTGGTTGCACTGTCTTTTCTTCTGAGGCATCTTTGCAGCTTTTGTTAGTCTCTAAGAATGGGGCTTTGCTTTGCTGGGTCTCTCTGGTAAACCTAAACCTGTAACTGTTGGTCTCTGCAGACCTACACCTCAGCAGATTACTGCTCCCTAAGGGCTCAACATTCCCTTGCTTGGCATTGCTAATGTATACGTTTAAAGAATGTCCATCTATTATGGAGTCATTTTGCCTCCTGCCCAAAGGGAATAGATTACTGGCACAGCCTAAATTCCTCACTGGGGGGAGGAGGGCCCAAAGCTGTCTCTCGGATGTCCTACCACATAGAACATTGAGCTCAGAGGGCTCCTGGCATTGCCATGTGAACAAGCAAATGCCTACGAGGAGTAATTTGCTGAGGTGTGTATTTGCAGAGGAGAGATTACAGGTAAGTAATAATGACGCATGCTCAGTTCTCCATTGCATAAAGGTAAATTGTCTGATACTCCCCATTGTACTGCTTAAAAACAGAGCGGAAATCTGGATCAACAGCTTGTCACCCTTCTTGCGACAGCATCCACTCTTTTCCCATTCAACTTTCCAAAATGGTCTCCTGCCGCTCTTCACTAAAATCACTGTGTTATGGGTGCTGAGGAAAACGTCCCGGAAAGCACTGCTGTACATTGGATTGTATTTCCACCCACTTGTGGCACGACAAGCCCTGGAATGGTCTGTTGTGGGTGTGTTAGAGTGATGGGTAGAGGCCTGGTCACCTCCCATTACTTAAGCTGGACAGTTGGTCGCACTGTGATCTCCCTCCAGTTCTCTTCTGTATCTTTCTGGAGCGTTGTTTTGCAGCACGGGGGAGCCAGTATGGTTGTTTGAATGCTGCTGTTTGCTGTTTTTTAAAGGACTTCTAGCCCTCCCATGGGGTTACTGCAGCAGGAGTTCATACCTGTACTACAGCCCAGCATACAGACTGCTGACAGGTACCAAGCGGAAAAACCCTGCTCATGGTGTGCCGTGTTTTGTCAACATGTTTTTACTGCCCATGGTTTTCAGCCCTTTGTTATTCAGTACTTTTATTCATGCTTTTTTTTTTTCTTTTTTTCTTTCATTTGTGCCTACATCCTTTGGGAAACCATGTGTACAATTGTAATGTTTAGTTTTTTTCCATAAGTTGCCAAATGTGTGTGTGTTCTTCAATTTAATAATCACTGTCAAGTTTAAACAGAAATACAGGGATTCTGATCAGATGATACGGATGTTCAATCAACTTATTAAAAGGCTTCTCAAGACTTTATTACTACCCCCATTGGATCGACTTGTAATAACTTTTCCTCAACCAAATTGGTTGCAGTTGAGAATGTTCTTTAATGCATACCTTGCTGTTAAGTCAAACACTGGCTTCTGCCACATGCTGCTAGTAATAGTCAGTATTACAAGTTTTGTATTGATATTTTGAGTTCCTGATGGCTGATTGACACTGAAAACTTACACTGGCGTAGCTACATCTCTCAAGGGTGTGAAAAATCCACGCTCCTAAGCGATGTAGTGAAGCCAACCTAATGCCTGGTGTAGACAGCACTAGGTCAGTGGAAGAATTCTTCTGTCAACCTAGCTACCGCCTAGCTCCCATTGACATAGCCCTGTCTACATGGGGCTTTAGGTCAGTATAACCGTGTTGCTCAGGAGTATGGATTCTTCACCCCGCTGAGCGATGTACTTATACCGCTATAGGTCTGGAGTGTAGCCCTGGCCTTAGATGAGAGCGGAGTGTGTAGCCCACAGCTGTTATCAATGCTTGTGAGAAACTGAGGCAGAGAGACTGGAAAGCAGGATTGTCCCATAAGCTGAATGTGTAGAGCTCTATTTTCAGCACTGCTTGTTAGCATTTTAGTGCCTGGCTCCCATTACCATTAAAAGTGGTAACAAGATATGATTTTAAGTTGGATTTCCCACTATGTTAAGAGTTGATGTCTGGATATTAGTTCCCTTTACGTTGTGCTCTAGCAGAGCCATGTGGCATGTGCTATTTCTGTGTAAAGTATGAAAACAGACTTGATTTTTAATTTCTTTAAGGGCCGGGGCAGTTTTCTCTTCGCTTTGAGAGGGAGCCATTTGTTGATACAAATATTCAGTGTAGGAGATAAAATACTTAAATAACTGGTTTTGGTTTAGGACAGTGCTGCATTGGGGGTTTAATTTCTGGATCGTTCCTTTCGGCTGATCCCTCCCCCAGCTCTGGGTATGTATGGTTTGCTGCCTCTTTCCACCCTCGTTATAATTGGATTTGCTCTTAGTTCCTCCCTACTCCCTGAACTCCAGCAATTCACTGATTCTCCCACCAGGACCCTTCCCCTAGAGCTCATTTGTGCTGAGGTATTTGCTAAACAGCAACTCCCTCCTCCTCTTCCCTGAGCAGGGACTAATGATACAAGGTCAGGGACTCTGGACCCCTGCCAGACTAAAAGCCCAGTGAGAGTCAAGCTTGGAATCCCAGCGTTCGAGTGTTACAAAACGCTGCTCTGCCAGCAGCAGTTCAGGACGTTGGGGCTCTGAAGTTGTGGAATGGAAGTGGGTGTTGAGGGGCTGGAGCAAAAACAGACCATAGAATGGCAGTCTGATATCACATGACCTGCTCTGGCTAGAACCACTTTGGTTGCAGCCCTACCAGAACCATTGTGCTCTTTCCAAGTACGAGTCTTGGATGTGTGATCAAAAGAAACCTTTGATCCTTGCCTGGAAGCTGCTGGCGCTGACCTCAGTCTGATACCAGACATAAGGCACTTGCTGCCTCTGGGGGTTAGTATAAGTGTCTGATCAGTTCTGCACCCACCCACAGAGCTTCCCCACTAGCAGTAGTGAAGTGAAACAGACAAGAGCCTAGTAAGCTTCATGCTGCTGCTCTTGATAAGCCCAGAGCAGGTCCAATTCCCTGCTGCTGGGGAGGGAACTCAAACTTTTGTTAGTCTCTTTTTTGCATCTTTGCCCCGCAGCTGCAGAGACCGTGATTAGAATGGGGAAGTGTTGTTGGTAGAGATTTCCTTCCCAGTGCAGGACAAGCACTGCTTGGGGGGAGGGGGAGCATGGAACAGTGAGTGGACATGCCTGCTAGTTAAAACAAGTGACATTTGATGATTTAAGCATTAGACTAAAGGCATTTAAAGATCCCAAAACTGGTTAAAATTCAAGTAAGCAAATGAACACTTGAAAGTATAGAAAACACATTAATTCTCTCCAGATGAATTCAGATATGGAAGGTAGATGTTACACTTTATTTCAAAAAGTGCTCTGTGTACAAGGGCCTCATCTACTGCTCAGAGTAATTCTCCTCTGTCTTTTGTTTCCTTGATGACTTCAGGCATCACACAGTAACCCGGGGAATAACTAAAGGGGTGAAAGAGGATTTCCGCTTGGCAATGGAGCGCCAAGTCTCACGCTGCGGGGAGAATCTGATGGTGGTGTTACACAGATTCTGCATTAATGAGAAGATACTGCTACTTCAGACACTGGCCTGAGTGGAGTGGACAGTGCAGCAGGGTGTCTTGCTGAGAAAGCAGAGGGCTGTATTATACACTCCAAACACAACATTGCTGTTGCAATGGGACTGTTCTAAGCTAATCACGTTCATGATGTTATAGGACTCAATCCTAGTTGCGTGTCCTAGAGTACATGTAAACTGAGGTTCATACTTAAACTAATTTTCACTCTCATTTTGGTAGATCAAAGATTTTATAAATAAATCATTTGAAAATTCTTCTTTTGTGAAGTAAAATGTTTGTGTAGCTTCCATAGCTATTCTAGAGTCATGGTGTGAGAATTGCAGCTAAGGTCATTTGGAAAGAAACACTTTATTTTTTTTTATATAAAGTAAGATGGGGCAGGGCTGGAAGTGACTGTCACCCCCTCACATTTTGTTTATGCCATTGATATTCAATCGAAATTATTTAGTCTGTACATCTTCCTGCTGGGGCTGAATCCGGTTCCCATTGACTACACTGCAGTGTTGCTTTGAAAGGAGGCTAAAGGCCTTGAAGTAAATCTAGTTACTGTGGATAAAACGATGCCATTGCTCTGGTGCCAGCTACACAGTCCATATAAAGTCAGTTTGTAATGGCTTGAAATATGTCAGAGACACAACCGTAACCCAGAGCAGCAATATCCGTTCCCTTTATGAAAGACACTTCAAATGATCAGAACTGTCTTAAAATTGTCCAGGAGTTAAGGGCTATCCAGTATGTTGGTCTGTTTGAGGGTAGATCAACAGCACTCTATGCACTGAAACATACTGTATACAGAGACAAGCAGACAACACAGCTCAGGCAAGTTACTGTGTTTTGGCTAAACAGTAAGCTTCTGTCCCTTAGTCACCAGAAAGTCTTCATTCCAGTTTCCCTGGAAACGTAAACTGAACACATGAGCCCTTTTTAATAATGAATCCCACCAGAAATGGCATCATCTCTGGGGAGTCCAGCTTCAGTATCTTATCCCCAGAAGAGACCATCACGCACCCAATCAGATTTTCCAGAATATCCTTTTCCGGTACAGTAAATATGATATGATGACCCAGATGGATGTTGCAACCAGGTTCTGAGCCAAGTGTTCCCCATGGGACTGACTGTCCTTCATCTTCCACTTAAAAGGGAAATAGTTCTCAAATACTTCATGCCCAACATAGACCAGGATCGAGTTCATTCCTTAAAATAAACACAGACAAAGAAAACAACTCTATACTCCATTGCATTGTAAGAGCAAGCTGTAGGATTAGGGGTTGGCAGCACATTTACAGGAAAGGGAATCGGGAAATTCTAAGCATTAATGTTGTTTCTGCCACGTGGCCTTGAATAAATCACTTTACCCCTCTGACTTCACAGCTAAAGAGTGATTAGCTAATCAAACTGCTGTTGGGAGGGAGGTAAGAATTAATGTCTGTACAGCACTATGAACATGTGGAGAATGTAGTTTTATAATTAAATCAAAGTTTAAGGATCTTTGATTAAAAGATTTTTCATTGCAAAAATATTCTTGAAGGGAAACAGTTTAGCAACAGCTCTTGCTACTTGACATGGCAAGAGAATGTTAATTTTACTGATGAGGACAGGACTGAACCACCTATTGCATCACAGATAGCTAAATATGCTTGAGGTTACTGACCTGGGTAGAAAAATGGAGCACCTGACCACCATTTCTTGACATCCACAAGGTAGTAGATCAGCAATAAAAGCAGATAGGCAAAGCAGCTCAATGTTGTCACATAAGAGATTGACCTACATATTTTCAGTGGGAATTTAAAAGGATATTTAGAGACCATTCAATATGGATTGATGTTGCTACAGTAAATGCATTCTCTCCAGCTACATGGATACAAACACATTGAATAGTTAAAAGTTACATGTCTCTACTTACCACAGATTCTTATTTGCAGGAATATACCCTTCATCTTTAGAGCATTTTGTCAAGATCGCAGAAATAATCCCCTGAAATAAGTGGTTGGAGTTTATATGAATTTTCACTGCAGCACATCTTAGAAATAGAAAGTTTGCACTGCATGAAAAGATGTGGTTGTTAATGAGTAATTTAAACTGCATTAAGAAAAGATGTAACTTACCATGACTACACTCCATATAAAAAACCTACTCATTATCTGCTTGTGCTGGTCTTTGTAAAACAAGAATATTTTTCCTGCCTATAAAAAAAACAAAGGCATAAAAACCAGTAAATTACCCTACTATACCAGGCATTTTCCACCACCCCCTTGCTGTAGAATTGAGAAGCTTAAACCGCTCTATTCGTGCTAAGCTGTTGGAAGACCGAGATTAGGAACTCTTCTAGGAGAGGCAGCAGAGAGTCCTGGGGCACCTTATAGCCTAACAGATGTATTGGAGCATGAGCTTTCGTGGGTGAATACCCAAGAAAGCTCATGCTCCAATATGTCTGTTAGTCCATAAGGTGCCACAGGACTCTTTGCTGCTTTTACAGATCCAGACTAACACGGCTACCCCTCTGATACTCTTCTAGGAGAACGCATTCCGGTGGAAAACAAGTGATGATTGTTTAGCAACAAAAATGTTCTGATTTCTACCCCATATGAGTAACCACACAAACAACTTTTAAGGCTGCTCAAGTGCAGTTCCTATTAAGGCAACCAAAATATAAGAACATTTTCACCAACCTAAATGGCTAGGCCATGCCATCTATAAACCATATACCCAAAAGCACTCCTCGACCCTTCATGGCACATGCTCCCTTTCAGTTCCAACATCCACCCGCCTACAATCCATGTAGCCACTTCCTTAAACTCCTACTTAGATACACAACTAACGCCACTCTGTGCACAATGCAGAACTCCTTTCCTCCAAGGGATATGCAGTGTGCCATTCTACCTGACAAACTATGGCGGTTAGCTATCCCACCTAAGTCCAGATACACAGATTTAGAGTCAGCCGCTACAAGATCACTCCCCACACCTGGTATAAGCGACACCCTAGTTATTTCCTGTTTTAAGTACAGTGACTGGCTACGAGGGAACTTTCGACACGTTAATGGTTTGAGTGGCAATGCACTGTCTCCTTTTCTGGAAAATGAGCACATGCCATAGGTGCTAAGTGCATTTGAGAGATGAGGAGGAGGATGGAAACACCACAGCCAAGTATGAGCTTAAATTTAACAGCCCAAGTCCATTTTTAGTCTTATTTTCAGAACCCCTGAGCAGCCAGCTGCTACTAGTAATTGCCAGACCTCCCCACAAACTGCTGGGGCAAAGGTTCCAGGCCTCCCCAGATATGACAAACCAGGGTTTCAAGAATTGAGCAAAACACCAGATTTTTTTAAACCTCAGAATCACGCTGGTCAATGTACCTCAAATTTTAATTTAAAGCCTCTGCCGGATGCCCCCTCCTGCCCTGCCAACTTGGACTCAAGAAGTTTTCAGAGGGTTTGGCTAGTTTATAATGGACCTGTGACTGCAACCTTAACTCTAGAGAAGATGCTGCCGCTCCAGCTCTAAAAGCTCCTTTCCCCCTACCCCCACCCCTGACAAAAACGCCTTCAGTTGTTTCTGGGAGATGAAGGCTTGCTGACAGTGTAGGTCCAAAAAGCAAAGACGGTACCTGAAGTCCAAAAAACGCCATGCAGATTGAATTTATTGTTCCCAAGATGCCTTCGGGATCATAGGCCACTGTTGTTTGGTAGAGCACCTTGCAGAGAGAGAGAGAGAGAGATTTAGGATTAAAAAGGTACGCACCCAGCCCTGAACTTCCTGCTCCCCTTGGGGCCATTTCCCCAGCCCTCCCCTGACACTTGACTGTTCTCAATGCCAGATTTAGACTTCACATTGAAATCGCTCCATTTACACTGTGCTACAATCCCTCCTCAGAACACAGTCCAAGGAAATGGTCTTTGGAGCAGAACTCTCTCCCCACAGCCCCCAGGCCAGTGTGCTGCTGATGAACTTGCCTAGTTGCAAATAAGCCAAGCCAGGCCAGCCCCACCCATCCACAGCCGTTCCCAAGTCTAGCCTCTCCACCTCCCACAGTGGTACCACCAGAGTTGTCAACTAAGTTTCAGAGAGATCTAAGCAAGGAAGAGCCCGTCTTAGCTGTCACATCCCAGATGGAGTGGGAGAGTTGGCATTTAAAGAAGAAAGTAGCTTTTTCTCCTTGAAAACTTCGCTAATTTTATATGAAAGTTGTTGACATGTTAAACACAGAACCTCACTCTGCAGCGAGTCAATGGTTTATGTGCAAGTAAGAACCACTCACATTGGATGATGGGTGTTGGTAAATATGCTTTTCTCCCAAGAGCAAGTGATCAATATAACCGGCTGCTCCTCCGGTGCAATTGGGATATTTTCCAAAATCCCCAATGCCACCGGGGCCAAGGTAACCCCTGGAAAGGAAGCAAAAGGCCATGGGTCTTTGCAGCACTCTACTGTTGAAAGGCTTGAGAATGAACAACAAGGCTACGCTTTGCAGCTCTTTAGGGATCTGCTGAAGCACAAACTCACCCCCACAGGCAATCAGGTCACCCACCGAACTACATCCTTCCCAGGTACAAGTTGCAAGGGGAAGGGCAGCCCAGAGGAGACGCTAGCCAACATCAGGTGCTCTGCTTTCCAGGCAACTAGTTACCACCAGTGCGCTCTAACTGCCAATCCCCACAGCCAAACTAGACAAGCGCCAGACTCAGGCTGATCAAGACAAGATCAACTGCCAACAAGCCATAGCGCCAGGGCAGCCAAAGCCCAGCACCACCCAATCTTGCCCTTAACGCAGATCCAGCTCTCGGGCCCCTGGGAAGGTACAACGTGCAGTGGAACTCAGCCCAGCTTTTTATGCTATGGAGTCTTCCTCTGGCCTGACGCATGGAGGTGAATACAACGTGCTGAATACAGAACAAGCCAGTGCAGCATCGGTGCCACCAGGCAAGGAAATACTCACGGACTCCCACAGCAGTAAGCACAATGCAGGGGACCTCCAAGAGACCCCTCAGGCTGCAGCCACTTGGAAACAAGTGGATGAGAAACCTCCGTGGTGGGCAGCCAGGTGCTGTTAACAAGAAATCCCCCAGAACCCAGCGCCCTGACGCTACGAGACCCACAGCCAGTGTCAAACAGAGACTATACTTGGGAATGGCAGGAAGAGGCCACACATGGCTAGTCGGCACCTGAGGCTGGTGGCTGGGGAAGCAGGCACTGGCAGGGGAGGACAGGACATCTCCAATGCTGACTGCACTCAAAGCAGCTCATCGAGGAGGGGC